TGAAGATACTAGATTTTACAGCAGTAAAAACAGACAATAACAACTATTCAGAAAGGGAAAAATAGAAAAAGAAGTTGGAATTGAAAAACATGAGAACAGCAAGTTACTTTTCTGTTGCAACAGTAATATGAGACATAATTAATACGTTTCTGAGAAGAAAGCACAACTGGAAAAGGAGCAACATCTAGTATACATAAGTTATCATCCATTGTCATTCTGCTCATTTATAAAGATGAATCAGTGACCAAATTGTGGGTTTTCGCTAGCCCACAACAATAGGGTTGCCAGGTCTGGGATGGAAAATACCTGGAGACTTTGGGGGTGGATCCAGGAGAGGGCGGGGTCTGGGGAGGGGAGGGGCTTCAGCATGGTACAGTGCCAAAGAGTCCACCATTCAAAGCAGCCATTTTCTCCAGGGGAGCTGATCTCTTTCAGCTGGAGATCAGTTGTAAAAGCGAGAGATCTCCAGGTCCCACCTGGAGGTTGGCAATCCTACACAGCAAACCAGACAGTCCTGGTGGCAGAAATGGTGGAAGCATGGTAACAAGCCACATGGTCACTAAAACAGGTGGTGGTATTCCACCTGCTACTTAAGACACCATCTCTAAAGAAGAATGATGTGGCAGTTATCATCTGGTCTCTAACTTGCTCTTCATAGGCAAGATGACAGAAAGCCAAATTAAACATGTCCTTGACACCATTTTAGAAGTAGTTGTTATTTTTAAAAAATTGCACCAAGGCCCCAATCTGGATGGAGCACATGGTACAAGTGGCTCCAGGAGCTCTTGTTCCCCCCCCACCCCATGTGCAGAAACAGACTGTTTTGGTACTTAAAAGGGTACGGGGAGGAACAAGAGCTCCTGGAGCCACTGAACCACAAGTCTGATCCAAACTGAGGCCTCACAGCAATTTTTAAAGAACTATGGCCCCCGTCACACGGAGCATTAGGCACGCTAGAGAGACGGAAGATAGGCGGATTTTCCGGGCGCGATCTCACCGCCACATCTGGGAAGCGTAGAGCTCCCATGGCGCACCTGAGGCTTCCCGCCGAAGATGCGGGGTAAAAAACTAGTACCTCGGAGGTACTAGTTTCCGGAAACCGCGGGGCAAGGGCGGGCGTCTGATCGCATTTTTGGTGGTAGTTCCAGCGCCCGCCCATGTCCCCTCGCAAAAAGGGTTTTTTTTCCCCCCAAGTCTCCACGGATGCGCACAAGCACCCAACGGAGCATGCACACATTTCAGTTTTAAAAAACCCCACAACCCCGTTTGCCGCACCGCTCCACTTCTTTGCTGCATCGTGTGATCGGCACCTCCCCCCTAACCACGGGAGCTCGACGGGACCTCAACCCAATGCCTGATCGCGCAGTCATGCGTTAGTTTGCTCCGGGGCAAACAGCCATGCCTCCCCCCCCCCGCATTTTCCTGCCCGTGTGGCCGAGGCCTAAAACTGATTCTAAAATATTGTTGGTGGCCACGGGATGGACCCATGGTCACTGTCACATTTTGTTTGGCTCAGAGCAGTTGCCAAACTAACTCCAGGCCTTCCTGGATTATTCACCTGCTCTAGACACCTTCAGTCTGACTTCAGGCTAGGCGAAGGTATAGAAATAAGTTTGGTGGCTTTTCTCAGTCTGAATGTAGACAAGAACTGTGCCTCCCTGTTGCTCTTTCTGGACTTATCAATAAGTTTTGATACTGGGGACCATACCATCTTGCTGAGGTATTTGGAGACAGAGAAGGGATTAAGGGTGTACTTGGGAGTATTTATATCATCCCTTATGGGCAGGATTCTGAGGGTTGCTGTTCAAGACCAGTTATCATCAGTGTGGGACTCAGGGGTGGATTAAGGCTCACTGGTGCTCTAAGCACTGACCAATCTTGGTGCCCCCCTCCTTTCCACACTGACCCAGCCCATTTTAGTTGTTGACCTGTCTGACCAGATATATAATGCAGGTTGCAGCAATACAAAAATGTATTCATATGATAACACAATGTACTGTACAAACTAAGCTTTCCACCCTTTCCCCAACTTTGTGGTGCCTCCTTTGGCCCTGGTGCCCTAAGCACATGCTTAGTCTGCTTAATGGTTAATCTGCCCCTGGTGGGACTTGTGAGGTTCCACAAGGATTGGTCTTGTCCCCCACTCTATTCAGTCTCTCTTTAAAGTTATCAGGAGTGGTTTCAGAGTAGACTATCATCTGATGGCACCCAGGTCCAGAGTGCCTGGTGATGCTGGGAAGGTCCTGAACTGGTACCTGATTGCTGTAGTTAAATGGCTAAGGGACAACTATTTAAAACCAACCCCTGACAAGATGGATGTAATGCTGTCTGGGAAGGCTGAAGTCTTGAAGGACATCGTGTTTTACGCTTTGGATGGGGTCCACCTGGCACTTACTAACTCAGTTAAGATCCTAAATGGTTGCACTTTTGGTTGAGGACAGCAACTATTTCCGCTCCAGTTGCTTCTCATATCTATTTTGTCCTCCTCTCCCTTGCCCTCGAAGCGGCCAGCAGTCTGAAAGGGTACCAATTAATATACAGAACCTAACAAAGGTTAGTAAAATGTGAAAAAGAGGGCCAATATTAAAAACTAAATGTAGAAAATATATAGAAAAAGATACATGTATTTATTACTTACAAATTTTAAAACATATATAAGGGCCCATTCACATCAAATATATAAACAACATGGCAATATACACGGGCTTAAAAACATGACCTGACGCGTTTCGGCCTGCATAGGCCTTCCTCAGAGGTCAAACAATTGAGTGGCAAGATGGCTATGTAAATATAATACAATCATGCACACGAAAGCTCATACCTTGAACAAACCTTTGTTGTATGAGTACATTGCTTTTATCCTGTAACCTGCCTTGAGACAGGAGTCTGAAGTTGGTTACTTATTCACAGTTCCTTATTCATTCCTTATTTGTGACTTATTTTTGAATTCATCCAGAAATGTTGAGGAGAGTTGGCCGTACACATGTAAACCTGTTGCTACAGAGACTGCTAGACTATTATTCACTTGGGGCTCAGACAAGCAAACTCCTGATGAACAAAAAGGGAATCATACCTTGGATAAAAATAGGACAGATAACATGCAAACAAAAGATCTTAATTGGCACTGTATTTCCCCCCCAGAATCATCTGCTCTGAACTGCTGGCCAGTGCAAGAAGATGGTCTGTGATACTGAAAGTAATCCCAGACAGGGAGATCGGCAGAGGTGTGATGTGGTGGGGTCTGACCTCTGAAGCTGCTGTTTTCTCCAGGTGAACTAATTTCTGTGGTCTGGAGATCAGCCATAAATCCAGGAGAACTGAAGGTCCTATGTGGAGTGTTATGTATGCAGCCCGCCACACGGCGGCCACAAGAAAGACAGGAGCTTGGCTCCAGAAAGACAATGGGACCTAGGATCCTAGTCCCCCCCTAGCTGACCAATGGGCTTCTTGGCGGGAAATTCAAACCCTCCAATGGAGTGGGAGGCCCAGGGGTGGGAGTGTATATAGTTGGCCTTGCAGGGCCGTTGTGTGTTCTTATGTAAGTACGCAATAAACGTGTGCAACCGCATGTCGTCGTCCGAGTCCTCCATGCAGCGAACCCAGTACTTTACAGTGGCGATGAAGGTGGGATCCCGCTGAGTCTGGCCTGGCTCGCATCAGCGCATCGCTAAGCTCCGTTCCTGCCCCGCCGCACCCCGCATCGCGCAACAGCCGCACCGCACCGCGCTCCGCAACGAGGAACCTCAGCCCCGCGCTACTGCTACGCCATGGCCTCCAACCGAGGAAATCTGGAGATCTTCGATCCAGCCCACCCCGAACTCTGGGACTCATGGACCGACCAGCTAACATGCCACCTCAAGTACAACGAGGTCACCGACGCCGGCAAGAGACGAGCGCTGCTCCTAAGCTCCTGCGGAGTGACGACGGTCCGCCTCGCCAAAAGTCTCCTCGCACCCCGGTCCATCCTGGAGTGCACCTACGAGGAGATCATCGATGCCCTCACCCGGTACCTCACGCCGCGGCCGACAACGCTCGCCAGGCGGCTGGCTTTCCAGAGCCGCACACAGAAACCGGGCGAGTCGGACGCAGCCTTTATGGCCGCCCTGCGCCTGCTGGCTATGGACTGCTCCTTCACCAAGGTGGAGGAGAACCTGCTGACCCAGTTCGCGTGGGGCCTCAGCGACCTCAAACTGCGGAGGAAGATGGTCGGGACCGCCGACATCAAGCTAGAGGCGGCCCTACAACTTGCCATCGCGCACGAGGACTCCCATCGCCAATCTTACGCAGTGCATCAAGTCCTCCCTGATGGAGACACCGAGGACTCCGAGGAAGAAGACGTCCGCCTTGTCCGACAGCTGCAACGCCACCAGCCACCGGCCCCAGGCAACCCCGGACACAAGCCCGCCGGCCGCTCCACATGTGCCAGCTGCGGCGAGGAACACGAGTGCCGGGCCTGCAGGTTCCGCGACGCAACGTGCCACACTTGCGGGAAGCAGGGACACCTCGCACGCGTCTGCCGGTCCAAAGGAACCAGGCGCCAACAAGCCCGGCTCAACACCGCCGTCAGTCTGCCGCCACGCACGGGACATCCGCAGAGGCATCCGAGCTCTACCTCCTCACGGAGCAACCATCGCAACAGGTACTTCGCCTCCCCGACGCAGAGGGCGCCCCGAAAATCCAGCTTACCGTCCAGATTGAGGGGGCCCCCTGCCAAATGGAAGTGTTCTCTGGGTCAGCGGCGTCCATAATTTCAGTGGATACACTTCGCCAGCTGTGCCCTGGGGGCCCCCCGATTACGCCCGTCACACCTGAGCCTGGTGGACTTTCAAAGAAACCCGGTTCCCATCAGGGGGGTGCGGACTTTCAGGGTGAAGTTTAGAGGATTTTCGGGACCTTTGGACCTGGTGGTGGTTGAGGGAAACCTGGTCAGCCTACTGGGCAGGGCCTGGTTTGAACCGCTGGGCATCACGGTCGGAGTCAAGGGGATACACAGCTGTGCCCCAAGAGACTATAGTGACATTTGTAACGAGTTCCCGGCCGTGTTCGATGGGGCCCTGGGATGCTACAAAGGACCCCCGGTCTCCCTACAACTGGACCCCTCAGTTGCCCCCATCCGCTTGCGTTACCGCACGGCTCCCATCTCCATTCAGCCAAAGATAGACGTGGAGCTGGATAAGTTGGTGGCGCAGGGGGTCCTGGAGCCCATCCCACACGCAACGTGGGAAACCCCCATTGTAACCCCACTGAAGCCCAATGGGGAGATCCGCATCTGCGCGGACTACAAGTGCACCATTAATAAGGCACTGCACGACCACTCCTACCCCGTCCCGGTCGTTAGTCACGTCCTGGCCACGCTGGCGGGAGCATCCATATTTGGGAAGCTGGACTTAGCTCAGGCATACCAGCAACTGCCGGTCAACGAGGCCACCGCCACGGCGCAGACAATAGTCACCCACAGGGGGGCGTTCAGGGTGAAGAGGTTGCAATTCGGGGTGAGCGTGGCACCAGGGATCTTCCAGCAACTCATGGACTCTCTCTTAAAAGGGATCCCTGGAGTGACGCCGTTTTTCAACTGACCTTGGGTCAGTCACAGTTCTCTCAGAGCCATTCTCTCAAAAGCAGTTCTCAAAAGAGCTCTCTCAGTTCCACCTACCTCCAGTGCCCCCTCTAAGCTGTGGAGTCTTATGAGCAAAAATTCTACTTTGCGAGCTACTAGCATTAAAGTTGTGAGTAGCAATTTGGCTACTGCATAAATTAGTTTGCTCCGGAGCCATCCTTCCTGAGCTAAGACAAAAATGTGTGACCCAGAGGCTAAAAATTATGAGGTAGCTCACACTAACTCAGCTTAGAGGGAGCACTGCCTACTTCACAGGTTGTCTGTTGTGGGGAGAGGAAGGGAAGGAGATTGTAAACTGCTCTGAAACTCCTTCTGGTAGTGAAGGGCGGGGTATAAATCCAATCTCTTCTCTCTTTTCTGTTCTTCTCTTCTCTACCAAATAATTAGATTATTTCTAAATTATGAAAGATTTGTTCCCCCAATAATGATTGGTCAACTTCTATTAAATCTTCAGTTTTGACTAGACCATGGTTTTCTCACCCAGCAGATTGTTGATAGTTGTCCATAGAGAAACAGGGAAAACAACTTACACAGTTCATGAGAAATTGTTATTAAGGCGGAATAGGTATTAGTATAAATATTGGTAGAATTAAGAATAACCTCCATGTATTTGTTTGTATGTTAGTATGTATGTATATGTGTGTATATGTTATGATTGTGCATGTTATGTGGAAAATGTAATAAAATCCTGCCCCTTTGGGGGGCAGTTAAAAAAAAAAGAAAAAAGAAACAGGGAAAACTAGCAGCAGGAAGTAGAAACTTACTTTGCTCATAATTTACATGCTGATAAAATTGCTCTTGTTAAAGCCCCTTTTTTTGCGATACATATGATGTGCATGGCTGCTGGAAGAAATGATATAGCTTTCAGCAAAAGACAGTGTGCTTTCTTCTGTTTGATAGATGTTCCATGTTGGGTATTTTTCGTTTTGTGAATCAACAGCCGAAATGCATCATAAAAGCAGATGTAGGTTTCAGATCCAAAGATGTATGCAGAAGATAATATCCTCTCACAGTAGGATTGTTTTTATACCTCACATAGGAAGGCTGAATAAAGCAAAACTAAATCCAAAGAGATTATTCCCCCGAAGCAAGAGGTGACACAAGAGGGAGCCTGAAAACCCGTCTCTTGTGTGTGAATGCTTATGCAAGTGCTGTGTTGCATTTCCATCCTGACTTTCCTCCCCTCATCCATTTTATCCTCACAGCCGTATGAAATAGTCAAGGGTGAGAGAGAAAGACTGGCCCAAGATCCCAGTGAGTTTCATGGATCAGTGGGAATTTAAACCCGTTTCCTCAGTCCTAGATTAGCGCTCTCACTACTTTGCTACATCGGCAACTGTAGTGCTTTCCCCATTTGCCTGCCACTCTGGATTTTCTCAGTGTTCAAGCTGAGTCGATTTAAGTCCACGGCAAAACAGCATCCAAATAACCTGGGGCAACAGCAGGCTGAAACCGGGCAGACCACTGAACGAAGGTAGTGTAATGCATAATTGGGGGGGGGGGGCCCTGGAATAAAAAGAAGGTTGGCTTAGAATAAACTGCCAAGGGGGATTGGGAGAACCTGGATTAAAAAGACGGCTGAATTCGATTTCAGTGCAGAATTGCTTGGAGGACACTGCAGTGAATGTGGCCTGTGAAACAGAACTAGCAGCTGCTCACAGTTCTTTACATTCAGGCCAATGTCTAAGATGTCAGTGGATCTTCAGAACTGTAAATGGTTAGAAAATAAATCTGTCCTTTCTCTTGTCCTATTCACATGTTACGGTGAACACACATACAGCCTGCGTGTACACCTGTTTGTAAGAAACAGCCAATGCACGTTCACTTTACAAATGAAACTGGGGACCGGTACTTGGATAAAAAAGGAGCTGCGGTGGCTCAAGCGGTTAAGACGCTGAACTGCAGGCTGTGGAAGGTCAGTAGTTCAGCAGTTCGAGACCAGAGTGTGCCGTATGACGGAATGAGCTCCCGTCCTTAGTTCCACCTCCTGCCAACCTAGCAGTTCGAAAGCAAGAAATTGCAAGTAGATAAATAGGTACCACTTCGGTGGGAAGGTAACAGCGTTCCATGTGCCTTGGTGTTTAGTCATGCCGGCCACATGACCACGGAAACGTCTTCGGACAGCGCTGGCTCTTCGACTTTGAAACGGAGATGAGCACCGCAACCCTAGAGTCGGACTCGACTGGCTTTCGAGCAAGGGAACTTTTACCTTTACCTTTTACTTGGATAAATGTGGAGTTTCAATCACATGTTCTGCTGTACATGCTCCGAAGTTAACACAAGAATTACTCAGCACATGTACAAAGAAAAACCAACTGTACACTCTGTATGAATTGTGCATGCGTTCACTGTATTGTTTTAATTGTTTCATTGAATTAAACTGCTTTATTTATTGATATTCTGCTATATGTTGTACACCGCCCTGAGCCCTTCAGGAGAGGGTGGGTTATAAATGGAATCAATCAACTTTTGAACAGGGGTTCTCCCCTGACCCCCCAGTTGCTAACTCTGGGTCTGGAGGTTCCCGGATATTTGGGTTTGGACCCTGAGGAAGGTGGAGTATGGGGAGGCGAGGGAGCTCAGCCATGTGTGTGTGTGTGTGTGTGATGCAAAATATTTCTCCCTCGGAAGCTGCCATTTGCTCTAGGGTAACAGATCTCCCTAGGCTGGAGATCAGCTGCCATTCCAGGAGAAGTCGCACACAAGTATTTTAATGACTATATTCATCCCAGGGAATGGTGGTCTTCCATGGAAGAAATATCAATCTTCGCTACATGGATACATATCTGAATTTATTCCCTCCTGATCATCAAAATAAGCATACAAGATTGCCGTGTTGTAAACATTTGTTTAAGGTGCAAAACGGAAATGTTTTCTGAACATTAAAAAAATGTATTGGCATTATTTTGAGGTGCATTTCCTACACACATTTCAGAAGACAATAAATTAAATACAATATCTGTCCTTTTATATATTTTGGATGATTGCTGGTCTATGACATTTTAACACTTCTTCAGAATAAATGCCTTTCACAAGAAGTTCATCTTACTGGTACAAATGGAAGATCATTGTCTGTGAGTTTTCATTTCGAAATTATTGCACTGCTTTTCTTTCTTTCTTTCTTTCTTTTTTTTTTTCATCATGCCACAAAATGTGAAGTCCAAAATATTTATAGTTGTGATTGTCAATCTCGCCTTCGCAGAGATGTGTGTGTGAAGACAAAATAGACAACTCATTTTGTTGACTCAATAGAGGCATATTATCACAGCGAGATTATAATTCAGGTGTACAATACCTGCTTTTTCCAGAGTACAACAATGAAGATGCCTTGTACTGCGTGTCACAGCAGGTAACTAATATCAACAAAGTACCAAAAAAAACCTATGTGCAAATAACATAATATTGGTCTAACCTCACACCACAAAAGCAAAGAAATTTAAAAAGTAAAGCTTAACTTTGTATCCTTACCGACTCAGCTGCGCTGATTCACCACATCAAAAATGACACTGCACTCTCAATCACAGCTGTGGAGATGGACATATTTTAATGTGCTAAACATAGCTAGGACCCAGTTGACAACGAATTTTTTGCAAGAAGAAGAGGAGAATGGATTTATACCCTGCCCTTGGAGTCTCAGAGTGGCTTACAATCTCCTTTCCCTTCCTTTCCCCACAACATACACCCCGTGAGGCAGGTGGGGCTGAGAGAGCTCTTCTAAGGACTGCTCTTGAGAGAACAGCTCTGAAAGAACTTGTAACTGACCTAAGGTCACCCCAGCCGATGTATGTGGAATCAAACCCAGATTAGAATCTAAGTGGATGTCCCTCAGGCTGGGGATCACCAGGAGGTGCTGATTGGAAGAGTGTAAAGCTCTCTGGGGCTTATATGGGGAGAGGCAGTCCCACAGGTATGATGGCCCCAGGCCGCATAGGGTTTTAAAGGTCAAAGCCATAACCAGATCCAGTGTTTGATCAGCAGCCAGTACAGTTGGTGCAACACTGGCTGAATGGGTGCCCGTGAAGGTCAAAGAATCTCCCAGATTAGAATCTATGCTCCTAACCCCTACACCAAACTTGCAAGTCCTACAGTGCACTCCTAAGTAGTAGTACACTTTGAAACCCATTGACTTCAATGGATGTAGAAGGGTGAAGGACACACAACACAACTCCAATCAATAATAAACAGCTTCTCTCCAATGCGATCCTCTCTCCAATGTCATTTAACATCTACGTGCATCCCCTCGCCCACGTGGTCTGGGGGTTTGGGCTGGGTTGTCAGCAATATGCAGATGGCACCAGTGTTCCCTCTAAGCTGAGTTAGTGTGAGCTAGCTCATAGTTTTTTAGCCTCCAGCTCACACATTTCTGTCTTAGCTCAGGAAGGATGGCTCCAGAGCAAACTGATTTATGCAGCAACCAACTCACTCGCTCACAGCTTTAATGCCAGTAGCTCACAAAGCAGAATTTTTGCTCACAAGACTCCACAGCTTAGAAGGAACATTGGATGGCACCACAGCTCTATTTGTTGATGGACGGACAGATGGATGCTGACCCAGACATTTTGGCCAGGGTATTAAGAGGCCATGGCTGGATGGTTGCAGCAAAGCTGGCTGAATATTAATCCAATGAAGACGAAGGTCCTGTACCTGAGTTGTGGGGACTGGGGTTAGGAATCAGGCTCCCAGTCTTTGGTGTGGCACCACTGGTGCCAGCGCTGTGTGTAAGGAGTCTTGGGGTGATGCTGGATCCCTCACCTACTATGGAGGCCCAGGTCACTTTGCCTGCCAGATCAGCCTTTTATCATCTTTGGCTGGTCAGGCAGCTGTTCCCTATCTTACCCCTCAGGACTTAGCTACGTGATTCATGCAATGGTCACTTCCAGGCTGGATTACTGAAACTCGCTTCTTGCTAGTGCAGAATGGAAATTGAAGCTAGTGCAGAATGTGGCAGCACACTTACTGATGGCGACGCCTCCACGGGCGCCCATTCAGCCAGTGTTGCACCAACTGTGACCCATGAATTCTGTAGTGATTCACAGGGTATCACAGTATAACTGCTGGTTCCCCAACATGGGGACCCCGGCTCAGGCAGTTGCTTTTGGTAAAGGAGCCCCCGCTCCCATCTGTAATATGCGGATAGTAATTAAGGTTGCTGGCTTTTAAACGGGTCACCCTAGCTGTCCCTTTAATATCAGTTTGATCTGCAGCGCTTATCAGGAGATATTATTTATCTTCATGCCATGAAAACTTTAACTGTCCATTTCTGCAAATTAAAGCTCTCTTAAACTGGTGAGATGGTTTTTTTCCCAGCCACTTGGCGACCTTAATAGTGACACTGACCTACACTGCAGGAATATTATTCATGTGCATGAAGTGTTTTGAAATGTCTAAATGCAAAGTTCTTATTGGTCAGATGACATGACGGCATATTCTCCCGACTGACTACTTCAAACAAGTGATCACTATGGAAAATCTCATTTTAAATTCCCCTACTATTTAAGCTGTGATCATTGCTACTTAATAGGAATATTCCTAACCTTCCAACCAAAAAGAGGACATTTTAGTCAGTGTTTTTTTTAAGAGCCCAAAAGAGGACGGTCATCAAAAAAAGAGGACATGGCTTCTAAAAAGAGGACATCTGGTAACCCTACATGAGTGCCCTTTGCGCTCATGTGACAATGCTGTTGACTGAAGAGGAAGAGCATGTGCCCTGCAACTATAGTTCATTTCACCACCCTGTCATGGCCAAATCTGCTCTGATCACCGTGCATTGCTGCTTTGTATGCACAGGCCCTCATCCTGATAGGAGAAACCAAGCACTATTTTTTATAAATGAAAATGTAGAAATGAATAGCTATCACACCTCCTAGGAGTCCCTTTATATTCCCAAATGCAGAGCATCCACTCTTTAAAAAAAACCCAGTAGAGATAGCTTCAAAATTTACGACTCACATCCAAATTAGATTAGCTGCATTATCTTGTATCACAAGTTCTCCAAGCAGTACAATGAAAAGCCTACAAAAGCTGAATTTGCTACTTAGCGTGAAAAGAAATTGAGATTATATTTAAAATAAAATGTGGCCGTTTATTTTCCTCAAGTATTATAGCTGCTGCTTCTGTTAAAGAGAGATCACAGTCTTTTGTGCTTTTATTTTTGAACCCCTTTAGTGGCTGCTTAAGGAAAGAGATTAGTTCGCTGCTAATTGTGTGGCTTCCTTTTTTGTGATCCTATGAAAACCTTCTAAAAGTCTGCATGCAAAACCAATGAGGTAGAACATGTTTGACA